CAACAATAACTGCATATCTGTAGACTGTATCTCTCTCTCGAACTTTTCCTTTTCCATGAAAAACAGTAGCAAATCCTCTCTCTCTTTCTCTCTTATCTGCATATTGAAGCTGTGGCAGTTGCCTGGTTTGCCTCTCTTTCACACGTTTCCCTTTTCTTTTCCCTTTATGCAAGTTTGAATGGAATGGAAATAAGCCAAACTTTAAAATACTTTAAAGAGCTGTATGTATTTTATACTGCGTTTTAGCCCACTTCTCTTTTTGACCCATTTTAGAACAATCTTGCATAATTTTTCCATCACAAATTCCAGAAAACAGTCTCAGAGTGCTAAAAGTAAGCTTATCGAAGGAATATTACAGCCAGTTTATGGGTTTATATTTCTAGTGATTCTTGGGATTGGTTTGAATAAATTTTGAGAAAATGCCAAGTAAAAATTTGAATGTGGATGGAAAGTTTGGGGGAAGGCAATGTAAAGTGAGAAGGAGAAGGAATTCTTCGTCATCTTCATCATCGTTAGTGAAGAATTATCATATAAAGCGCGCAATTTTGGTCGGCAAAAGGGGAGGGTCAAGCACTCCAGAGCCAATGTGGAAAATGGTGAATTCAAGATCCTCATCACTCAAAAATAACAATGAATTCAAGAATTTGGCACCAAAGGGTGCTGAAAAGAGCAAAGATTTCTCGGTATCGGCCCGAAAATTGGCTGCCAATTTGTGGGAGATTGATGGGTTTCCTTCATCCAGAGTGACAATGGAAGATTTGGAAGACAAAATAAGTGTAGTAGAAAATGTTAGAAAAGAAACAGTTTTGAATTCACCCAAATTGGATCCATTTCATAGTGCTATTTCTGAGGTGGAGTTGTGTTTGCTTTAACAGATTTGGCTTTTCAAGTCTGCAGATTTTATTGAAGATATTTATTAATCGTTTTTTGTGATTTTTTGAATTGGAATTTTGCAGAGAATGGATCCATCTGAAGTGGGCTATCATCGAAGAAGAGCATCAGCTGGTTCTCAAAAACTTCCGCAGGCTGATTGTAATCTAGCAAGCAATAATTCTCTTCATACTTGCTTAATAGAGGTATGGCAAATGCTCTTTTCCTTCGCATTTATCCAATATTTTGCTATTAAATGTTAAAAAGTTAGTGTACTACCTTTTTTTTTTTGCCTTCATTACGAGACGATATCAATTATTTCTGGCAAGTTAAACAAATTAGACTGGTGAAGAAAGCAAACATTATTGGCAATGGTTTTTCTTGTATTGTCAAGTGAATTCTGGCAGATTCATCGCAGTTAAAGTACTCCAAATCCTTCCCTAAATTCATGCTCTTTAACTGATGTATAATAGTGGGTTAATAGCCTTTGGAGCCACCCTTTGGCCTACTAAGAAATGATTTCTCGTAATGGACAAATTCCTCAGTTATCTCAGCGGAACAGAGAACATGGTTTAATTTTCCTGTGGGTGCCACCAAAGCCAACATGTCGAATATTTTTTTTTTTAACATTTATCGACTTTTACTGTTCACACTTTCTTCTGTTCCCTGATCGTGAAGATGTTGAGTAATTCCTCAATAATAAACGCTAATGTTATGTTTGACAAGGCAAAATTGACAGCCTATAAGACTAGTAAAAGTAAGGATCAAGAATGTTATATATTTCAGGAGCTAGATTAGTTGCCGATAAACAAGTAAGAATTGCCTCAACAAAAANATTGCCGATAAACAAGTAAGAAGTGCCTCAACAAAAAATTATGGAATTGATAGTATTATAGAAGAAAGAGAAGTTTAGTACCATAACTTGCGCCAAGATTCTGAGCTTTAACTTGATGTGCTACACAAGGGATGTTGATTAAACCGTAGTTATGCAGGTTGATCAGACGAAATCTCATGGACGAAGTCCATGTAGGCACATAGTTGGGGTAAAAAGTCGTCTTAAGGATGTACGTAATGGCCTTACAACATCTAAAGAACTGCTCAAAGTATTAAGTTGCATTTGTCACCTAGAAGAGCAGCATGCTACAGGATTATCACTTGTCTCGGCCTTAAAATATGAGCTTGATCAGGCATATGTACATGTCAATAAATTAATTCAAGAGCAAAGAACAAACCATAGTGAGATTGATATCTTGTTGAATCGGTTCGAAGAGGAAAAGGTACTTTGGAAAATTAAAGAACAAGACAGGATTCACAGAGCCATTACATCTATTGCTGGTGAGCTCCAGATAGAGAAGAGTCTAAGGCGACAAACTGAGAGACTGAACAAGAAACTTGGAAAAGAATTAGCAAAGACTAAGGAATCTCTTTCAAGGGCAATGAAAGAGCTTGAGAGTGAGAAGAGGACGAGAGAGATATTGGAGCAAGTAGCCAATGAGTTGGCCCGAGGCATTGGAGAAGATAGGGCTGAAGTGGAGGAACTAAAACAACAGTCAGCAAAAGATCGTGAAGAGATGGAAAAGGAGAGGGAAATGCTTCAACTAGCTGATGTACTGCGCGAGGAAAGAGTACAAATGAAGCTTTTGGAAGCCAAGTATCAGTTCGAGGAGAAAAATGAACTTGTTGACAAGTTAAGGAGTGAGCTCCAGGCTTATTTAAAATCAAAAATAGGCAAAGAAAAAGCGGATGGCTCCCCAAGCTATGAAAAAATAAAGGAGCTTGAAAAGTATCTGAGAGAAACAATGCCCAACTCATATCAATACCAAAATATAGAGAAAGAAGATAAGAAAGCAGTAAATAAAGCATTCGAAGATGATGATGATGATTCAGCTGATAGTGATCTCCATTCAATTGAATTAAATGGGGATGATACCAACAATAGCTTCCAACGAGGCGATGCTGTCAAAAACGACTCAAAGAGGAATTCAATGGATACAGGTAAAGTGAGAAAGTCTCTTTCCGGAAAATCCAAAAATCCAACCATTCCCCCCAAAAGAATATTTGCAAATGGCCTAGAGTTGGAATACACCAATAAACAAGAATATTCAGGCATGTTTGACAGGGATAGATTGTTCGAGTTTTCCTCACAGACTGGGAAAATGAATATTGAAGACGAGATCGAGAGATATAATATGATTAAAGACCTAAGAGACCACATTGTTTCTAGTTCCAGAAAAGGATCGTCCCATGATTTGCAGAATACACATTCAAATGATCCTAATGAAGTTGTACGGGAAGGATTAACAGTGTTGCAGGAAGCTATTTGACATTGTCCAAAGAGTTTATACTCATTTTGTTGTCGTTCTTTGGCCTAATGCAATGCTTTTTCATTTCTTAATAGATTCGAAAAATCTTTCTGTTGGCTAGTAAATTTGCAATCTGGAATGCAAGAATGTATACGGAATTTTGTTTTTGTCGTCCGCATAAGCTAATAAGCTGTACAAATCTGATATTCTGCTGTTTTGTGTAGTGTTAAGATGCTATAAAATTATTTCATTTATATAAAAGTTTATATGTTTGTTTCAGTGATTCAATCTTTGGTCTGAATGAATCTATTGACATCAAAATCTGTTGTAGTTTCGTAGGGATGATGTCTGAAACAATTCCCTTGTAATTGTAATGATTTGTCTTGGTTTTTCTTAGACCAAATGTTCTCAAATCATTCAAAGATCCACTTGATATTATCAATCATGTTATGGAAAAATTGAACTGATATCCTCGACTTATGAGTAGCAGGTCTCTACGGGGTGTATCCTACTGAAAGTTTTAAAAAGAGTTTTATGTGCTCTTGTAGAATTTGCGGACTTTTAGATGAAAGTCTTTCTTCGACTTCTATAAAATTTCATTTTAAAACTTTCATAAACTTTATAGAATTCATTTAATTTTTAAAGACTTTCATTTAAAATATAATTCACACGAGTCTAGCACAACAATGTGAATGTCTTAAAAGTCTACAATGAATACACATCCCTAAATATTTCATTCTAGTTACATAATTAACGACCGTTTTAGAACTTTTTAAAATTTTCAACGAGCGTGATCTTCAAATTTTTGAGTACCAATTCAAGTTGAGAAGCCAACCCTAGCTTCATAAAGTTGCATAAGCGAGAACTACATAAATTGGGCAATTTCCTAGATTGAGACTAATTTTTAAATATAATGAAAGAATAAAAATCAACTTGCTCCTTTAAAGATTGAAGATGAACATGCTATTAGAGAAAGAATGACGCTATTCGTTAGAATTGCACATGATCAGAATCTAATATGGTAGTGGTGTCATTGTCACATATATCAGAGAATTAAAATATCCTAATTTTATAGGAGAATGTGCCAGTTAATCTATTGCCACATAAATTACTCTCAAAGAAATAAATTAGAGATCGATAGTACAATTTTCCCTTGAGTTATGATAATAAGCATATGGCTCTCATGATTCTACTGCCCTCTTTCATAAATTTAATATTATTTTGTATATTAGAAAGATAATTGATAGCCATTGAATCATTTCAAGTTTTTGTTTTCCATATTATATACAACACTACACATGCACGGTTTACCGTTTGGTCGGGTTGGGGCCATGAATAATTGATAATGCCCACCTATTGTCTCACATTAGACATGATTTATGCCACTGTATTTCGACGTTTCATTCAATTTAAAAAGATTTTATAATCCAATAGAATGCAGCCAAATACATGTAATTTGGTTACTGCAGTAATGCTTCCGTCTCAATTTGGCTGTTTGTTATTCGAGGAATTAGCGGTTCATCTTGGTTCCAAGGCTAGACCAGATTCATTTTCAAGAATCATCCCGAGTTAGAGGGTCTGACGGTGGTCCGAGCCAGCCTGCCGTGAGTGTTCATCATTGGCCTGTTGAGTTGTGAACTCGACTACCTTATTAGACTGATCGCATCGAGCCAGTCTTTTTAGAGTCTCGAAGCAGATCGTTATGAAAAATCTATTACTTGGTTTATCAAACAACCTTTCAGAATTAGTACCTTCTGCCTGGAAGATCAGTTATGTTATCAGTTTCAGGCACAAGGGTTTGGTAATTAAGCTTTCTGGAAGTATTTGTTCCCTCGTTTTCTCAGGTTGGAGTTTACGCATCCAGTAGCGAACTTATTTGAAAGGTTTTTCAATTTCTGCAGACATCTTTCATCACTCAACATTTTTTCTCTTATTTCTTCCGAAAGTTAGAGATTATTCCGCATTCAATTAAACGACTATAGGTGTATAATCAGTGCCAACTCCACCCAAGACACATGAAATCAGATCTTGCTCAGGAAATGGATTTCCAGCAATGGTAAACTATTAGACAATGACCTCATCAGCTTCAGGAATTACTCCAATGCCTTGCCATTCTTAAATGCTGGTTCTAGTTTCCTGGATTCTCAATTTGGACACAGCTCGAAATGCTTAACATAGAGTTGCAGCAATGATGCAACCCCTGACTTGTGTTATTGTTGCTTCACTCATAGAATGATACAACCATTGCTGTCCCTAGAATCCGAACTTAGAACTTCTTCGAAAACCCTATCATTGGTTTTTTCCTGGATCACTGAATAGTCATTTTTGGCTATTAATGATGTTTTCATCACAATGATAAATTATTCGTGGCAGTTTGAGCATTCGAGACGCGAACCATCAAGATTTAGTTTGCAAACAAAATTGAGTAACTTTACTGCTAAAAGTACTCTACATGTTTACTTATGCAATTCTTTACATTGGCTTCGAGAAGACGACGGAATTATGATATTTCGTCCAGCGTTGATGTAGAGCATCACATGAACATGAGGATTGCCTTATCTCGAAATAGATTCTTCAATGCAAGGCCCAAATGAATAGTTAAAAACAAAATAAAAAAGGTTGAAGTTTGATGCAAGCCAACGGTGATAGGAAATTCTCTACCAACACCCCTACCATATCTTGCAATCGTAATGCTCCATTATATCATTCATGAACAACCTATCAATGATGTTTTACCTGAATCACTTAATTGTTATTTTTCAAAATAATAATAATAATAATAAGGCAACTAATGATGTTTCATCACAATTATTAAATTATTCATGCGGTGGGTTCTCAAGTATGATGATGGGCATATAGAACTTGATCGCAGCCTCTTATTAGCTATAGCTTTTGGAAAAAGTATTTGTATCTTCCAACATCACATGTATTGTACGTGCAACCCACCTTACACTTTACAAAAAACTTATGCGGTGAAATTTTATCCTATCAACTTCATATCGTTGCACCATTCAACATTGTCTTCATAATTGGTGGGTTTTCTAACAAATAGTTATGTTGACATCCGACCTCCGATGTGATTAAGTACAGTTTGTTGTAGACATTAAGCTTATGCTAATGTAAGCTCGGATATGTGAGATCAACACGGATTATGTTATTACTAAGGTTTGAGAGGACATAATGATTGAAGATTCCTTACACATTGTAGAAACAGTCAATCGACAAGTGACATATGGAAGGTCTTACAATAGCGTCCACAAATTCAACCAATCATATGCCTTAACTTCATTCCCTAAGTAATTCATTAATTGTTATGGACCACATATAAAGTTAATTCATGATGACCTAACAAGACGAGCTCACTAATCAATCCAAACGTGCCAATGATGTACTTTCTCAACTCGGTACTGTAGCTGATAAGACATGAAAATGAAGTATGTATGTAAATCCTTCCCCCATAAAAGAACAATGAAGGCCTTGAAGAAAAGGGGAGAAAACGGTTCAAAAGACAAAATATACTTCATATTTCAAATATTTCCTTGAAGAAAAAAGAGCAAGTGTTTGTAGTTATAAAAGTAATTTGCAAATCACTATCAATACAATTCTCATTTGCATTTCAAGTTAGCTTGAATCTTGTTTATATAATTTTCGACGTCAACAAATTCAAAACTTTAATTAAAAGATTATTTCCACAACTTCAATTTATGACATCAACCCATATTCAAAATGCTCCTAGTTCATTTACGTGTTCAACGGGCAACTAATCTGATTGCAGTGAAATGTCTCGACAATTAATTCTTGCTCACTTGTATTTATGCTTGATGAGCGGTACTATACATTATTACAAAATATACTTTAGCTCTCGAATACATTTTTTCAAAACTTATTTTCAATTATATATTTAGGTCTTGGAAAAATTTTAGATTTGTGTGTAATATTATTTTATTGGAAGAATGTGTAGTTGAAATGAAGTAAGAGAAAAAAAAATGAGAATGAGATAGAGAATATGTGGTTAAAATTAATTGTTGACTTTAACTTAAAATTAAAATTTAGATTAAAATACTACCAAACATGAACTAATTGAAATATACAATTTAATTTTTAAAAAAAAGAGCCAAATTTTGGATTCATATTTGGTCTCCAACCTATTAAACTCATAGCAAGTTGCATATCCTTAAAGGTTATAGACTAACATGATACTAAAATAATATGTTGGAGACCGATAATGCAATTTTCACCTTTTAGTCTTCATTTATTCAAACGGCAGCTCACACAGTACCATTTTTATCGCACACTGCACTCTCTCACCGTTTCAATTCCAATGTCAGAAAACAGTTCGGGAAGGGGACAAGGTGGGGTAGACCTGGCCACGAATCCGACTCCGGTCGACCCTAATAATGATATAGGCGACTTAATCCTACCCGACCCGCTTCTGGATTCCGGCTCTTTCATTGACGCAGACCAAAATGAGGCTGAACCGATGACGCCGCCAAAGAAGCAGCAGCATCAACAAATTTCCGAGGATGAGCAAGGATCTGGCTCCGGCATTGCTACTGAACCGATTTCGGTGGCTGCCGCTGTTGATGGCTCGGCTGGGTCGACTAGGCCGCCCACGAAGAGAAACCTAGAGGAGATGTCAAAAAGACCGAGCTGGTTGCCCGAGACCTGGACGATAGACTTGAGGGTCCGCTCCTCTGGAGCCACCGCTGGAACCATCGATCGGGTATGTCTCGCTGTAATTTACGCGCACACACACTCTTACGGACAGATAATATTAGAAATGATCAATTATGTGTTCTTTTTTGATGAGTCGTGTGTGTGTTTCATGATAATACTTTTGACTTATTATGTGCACTTTTTAGGGTTTTGTGTGTGTTTTCTCTCTGAGTGTCCCTGTGAGTTCTCTTCGTCTCTATAATTCCTAGAATAAGTCTCTGCGTGTTCTTTGATAAGTAAAAGTTGGGAATTCTGTGTGTCAGCGGAGGTGGGTTGAGAGGTAGGTTTTTTTTTTTTTAAATAAAATTATTATCCAGTAAATTTGATATCATCCGAACATAAGTTTTACTGAAATCTAATGCTATTTATCAAATGAGACAATGATTGCACTTCAATATTTTAAAACATAACTAATGTAAATTAATATCATCCGGGAGGTTTATGAGATTAGTCAACATTGTTTTATGCATGATTTTTTTTTTAATGTCTCTTTAGTTTACTTGATAGATGTTTTTGCAATGTTCATTTTAGCATGATGTACAAAGCTCCTTCAAGATTTATGAGTTCTTTTAAAATGTCTATGGCTGCCATGTCTAGTTCAAGGGCGTGAGAAGTACATAAATTCAATAAGTTACATGAAAACAATGAGTACCATGGTCTAGATCGAATGCTTTGGCAGAAAAGACTATTGGATTTCTTGATCACTAAAAATGTAGCTGTGTCCTTGATCTAGACGTGCTCAAATCTATTAATGGACTATGTTGTTCTTTGATGCTCCCTTGAACTAAAATGAGAAAAAAGAGTGTTGATCGTCATCGAGTGGCATTGATCAATAGATATGTGATTTTGAGGATAAGAAGACGCACTAAATACACCTTGCAACTCTGTAGCCTAAAATTGTACATACAGTGCATTTTTGTGTTCTCTACATGTATATTTTCGTAAGGTGGCATTCTTGTTACAGTCACTTTATAGGTGTTATGCCCACATGTCTATATTTACTTTGGTTGCTGAAATTTGCTTGTTCAGGATAGATTCTTAGATTATCTATGTACCGTGTCTCCGTAAGGCATCCATAAGGCAACTGTCTAGATAAGAGAAACTTGAATTTGCTTTCTCCATGAATCTATTACCTGCTAATGATTGTTCTCACAACGTAGAGTTGATACAAAGTTGACTATTGGAGTTGATAATTTAGTATGTAGTGCGAAGCTTTGTTATTCAATTTCCCCATGTACGATGTGTGATGTGTTGTTTGGTGTGAATTAAGATAATTGAAAATGTTACAAAAATCAATATTTTACACACTCTTCCCGGACAAGCTACCGGAGCCGATGAGTCGGAGTTGGACACATCATAAACATATGTTTGACTACAACCACTGGCTCCGACCACATAAACAGAAAATCGAATGGTCAACATCCATCTCGTTGAAAAGAGGTTTCCTCTGCATAAATGTCTCACGAATGACAGAAGAATGCTTGTGAATCGGTATCAAAAGACAGATAAAAGAACTAAAATCTTTCTGAATCGAAGACTTGATCCACATAAAAAGCAAAGAATTATAAAACACCTATTCAACAGTTAAAGAGAATAAATATGGTCTTAAAGTAATAAAGCTAATGAAAGAAGAGATCATATATTCCTACTATAACTGATAAATTATGCTGTCCACAATTTTTTCCACTGAGCTTATTCAAATATATATTTTTATGAGCAGATTAACCAAGAAAGGTTAATCATGGCTACTTTAGTTTCGAATATGAACGAATCACACGAGTGATCACACGGTTGTCAGCGTTCCTATCACATCAAATGACTAGATAAAGGCAGTGGTTGTTGTTACATATTATCATAAACATATGTGTGACTACGTTATTCTCATAGCAGAGGTAACAATAAGGGAAGTGGTTGCTGTTACAACTAATTACTGCTATGCAAAAAATAGTAGACTAGATAAATGGTGGCACTTTGAGTTTGAACACCATAACGGGAAAACTCGAAATAGAATTTGATTTTTATCCTTATTCTAAATTTAAGTTCTCTAAAATGTAAGGATCCGTAATCAAGTTTTTGGATAATTGCTTAGCCCGGTATACACTTGTATGACTAAATAAAATTTGGTTGGTTTTCAACTTTCCAGTGACCCGGAATCCATCCAAGTGTTAACCATTTAGTTATAAAATTTGGCTGTTTTTAACTTGGATAACCATTCTACAATGACATTATTGTATAAATCTTCATTTTGTAACCTATTATGGGATTTCTGTACATCCCATGCCTTCACTACCCCTATGCAATTTGACTTGTATGCCCATTCACTTCTCCAATGAACACTTCTCTGTACAGAATTACAAGTACTCATGGCACATATTTTGCTATAGTAATGTATAGGACATATGGTGACATTAGATTGATGAATGTAAACTAATTTCTCCAGTAATGTTGACACACACTGGTACACGTTGTCCTAATAGTATTTTTACGAGCTAGAAAATCGACAAAACTAGTTTTAACAGTAAGCCTAGATAATCTAAACTTTTATAGAGTTGACTGAAGATGGTTCAAGTCTTTGTTTATGACCGTCAATCGAGTTGGTAGAAGAAGGGGATCCACGTAGGTGACCTTAGATAGGCATTAGATAAGATTGAGCTGAGTTTTGAGTTGGGCATTTGAAAAGGTTGACAAATCCCTCACCCCTTCTTTTTAATCTCTTATCCCTTGTTCCTATTTTTTTGACATGTATTTTACATTTTATTAGGTTCAAATAATATATGTAGATAGACTTTAGCATAAATGTTTATGTTGGATTTTCTCTTTCCAAACAAATTATCTGTAGGTTTTTTCATTTACAGACATTTTCTGGGAACCATAACGAAAAGTTTATAACATGGCGTTGAGATTTTTCCTTTTCTTATGTTCATATGTTGGATTTTCTCTTTCCAAACAAACTATTTGTAGTTTTTTCATTACAGACATTTTCTGGGAACCATAACAAAAACTTAATAACATGGCTTTGAGATTTTTCTTTATCTTTTGCTTATATGTTCATCATGATTGATTTTCTTGCGAATCAGTCCAACTGGTGCAGGATTTAAGATCATAATATTTACTGAGTTTTGTAATTTCTCCTGTTTTTGCATTGCTACATTATGAAATAAATTAATAATTGTAGTAAGCACGTTTAGGAACCCTTGTTTTGTTTGTGTTTTGAGAAATTTGGCTACACTTGCCATTGGATGGTTTGCTTACAAGTTATGAGTACAGGGCTGCTCTCTCTCTCTCAATAGTTAGGGGGTATGTGGTAGTTCAGTTGCAGATTGTCTACGTACTTGAAGTTGAAGCTAAAAATATTTGTCCTTCCACTCTCCCTTTAATCTTTTGTAATTTTTATCTCTTTATTCTTGGAACTCAGATTTATGAGAGCTGATATCATGCCTACCCTGTTTTGCCATTTTTATCTTGTCTCTGCTGCTTTTTCTTGGTCTTGTTGATTGGGGGGCTCAGAAAATCTTTCATGGGACTAGAAATGTGTCATTGTACAGAACTTCAAATTCGTTTGCTTTTGAAGGGCATAATGGTACTTCAATTGCCATGCCACTTTCTAATGAATACGTATAAATGGTAAGGTTTTGAAAGAAAAAAATTGTTTGCAGCTTGTTCCTGTGTTGTGGGCAATATAAATGCACACTTTACAGGAAAAATAGACAATGGAATTCCCATGCAGTATAAGGTTCAATTATATTATTGAATAGTTAATTCAATTGTTGGTGTGCGTGCCTTGCACATAATGATTTCGTGACATGTACATGTTTTCTTATACTTGGGGTGAATTTCTTTTATTCAATCAGGTTTCTATGCTTATCAGTCATTTAGGAATAGTTTATGCTTTTCTTCATTTGGTGGCACTGTTTGATTTACATTACTAATTAAACAGAATCGAATAATGCTTTAGACGTGACAGTATTTTCTGCATTCTGCAGTATTACAGAGATCCATCTGGAAAGAAATTCCGTTCAAAGAATGAAGTGATGCACTTTTTGGAAACGGGGAATAAGATAAAGAGAAAGCCATATGATGCAGAAGCTACTGTCAGTAAAAATGAATTTCTTGATTGAGATTTAACTAATTCTAGATATTCAACAATGTAACAAATTGTTTTCTGCAGCCTTCTAAGAGTCCTGGGAGCAAAAAACAAAAAAAGTCAGCCTCCAAACGCAAGAAGTCTGAGGCTTTGAAGTTTGACTTTGAGAATCGGCCAAGTGCTGTCAGCGGGATCTGCACAAATGCTCCTGAAGAGACATGGACTGCCAGTGTTGATAATTAACGGGTGGCTGAATCTCGCCAACGTGAGTGGGCTACTGCATTTCAACATGTCACTCAACCGAAAGCAAATGAAGGGGCTTCTAACTTAAGGCACTTTTATTCTGATTTGCCATATGATGGGGACTGGGCCTGGAACTTATGGTAGTGGATTCTTTGTTTTCCTGCAGTTAGCTCATACAGAGGTTTTCAGTTTCACCAAACAGCTGTTTATGATATTGTTTTAGATTGATTAGTTGAAATTAGGAGTTAGGATGGGTTATACACATTGGGTGTTCTTTTTAATATAGACTTTCAGAAACTATGCAGGGAGGTGCTTTTTTTTTTTTATAAACTGGGTTTTTGTCAAATAACTCGACTTTTTCGGTTTATGTAGACAGAGAAGTTTAATTTATTCATATATTAGTTAGGAGGAATTCATTGTCCTACTATGCATTGCTGCTTAAGATGGACGAAAATTGAATTTAGGCCTACTAAACCAAAGATTTGAGTCGATATAGTCTCAATATCCTGGTTTTCTTGTGCCTATAATTTCAGTTTCGTCCAAAAAAATATAAGATTTTCTTGTCGATCTCTTTTAGTTTTTGTTACAGGTTGAACAAAATCAAGGTAAAAGGAAACTTCTATCGAATGTGTTATATGTTTGCGTTGTTTAAGTACTGTTGTTCCTATAATGCTTGGAAATGGACTATGTGGCTGTTAAAAGTGAGTATTTGTTCTAGATTAGTAGTTGAGGGCACGCAATTCGACTAGATTCTATTGAACAATATATAACAATGACTTCACTGCCAAATATACTGATGCTAAGTACCAGTAAAATTAAATTTATAGTAGTGAATGTTTTTTGAGAACATAAAGTGAGTAAACTTAGATTTTTGGTGGTGGTGGACAACGATTGCATGTGGTGGAGCCTGTTATTATCGATGGTGAGAACTAGAGTTCTGAATCAATGATACTCTACATCAAGCTCTTGTCGACTCACGATGGTGAGAACCAGAGTTCTGAATCAATGATATTCTATATCAAGCTCTTGTTGACTCATGGATCGTTCTTCAGCATGAAGGGTGGCGGCCGGTGGGCAAACCGAAGTTATGTTGTTTTGGATGAAATTCGTTACAGTCACATCTTAGTTTACAAAGCCGTATGCTAAACTCTTTCCTAAACATAAATTGAGTTTTCTTTGCGGAAAGGCATTTGGCAGGACAAATATCGAGTACTGTATATTATCAATTTAATTTTAAGAAAAATAATAAAAAATTTCAGATGCACAAGTCAATACGTTGCATGCAAATGACACGTGGACTCCGAACTATCACGTGATGTTCACGTTCCCGACAAACTGCCACCTTTCGACCCCTCCGTACAAACACATCAAAAGCAACCGAAAAGCCAAAGAACAAATCTAATACAAAACTTGTTGAAGAGTTTCAGTTTGATTCTGTGCTTTACTTTTCAATACTCGTCAAGTATATTCCACTTCAAATTTGAGTATAAAAGAGCGAGTTCGTTTAAGAATTTGAACAAGAAATGGGTGACCATAGCGAGAGAAGTCCCATGACGATTTCTATGGCAGAAGCGTCGTCAATGTTTCCAGGGTTTCGGTTTTCGCCGACAGATGAAGAATTGATAGAATATTACTTGAAAAAGAAGCTTATGGGATCTGATAAGTGTGTTGAAATCATTCCTGAGGTTGATATCTGTCGGCACCAGCCTTGGGACTTACCACGTTCGTTCTACTTCTTTCTCATATAATATACTGCGGATATACATATAAATTTCACTTTGTTGTCCACTGTATTTTTTTTTCACTTTTTTTATTAATGAATTGGGTGAATTTGTTAATCCTTTGTTTTTTCAGCATTTTGAATTTCCCATCGTTGGTCCATCCTTCATAGAATTAGATAAATGATCTAGCAATGATGGAATTTCCTTGAAAAGGCCATTGTATTTGGCCATATATTGTGGCAACCTGCTGTTATTGGCACTTGTTTTACGGCAAAGTGGTAGCTTCTGCTTGAGTATTGGGAAAAAATGATCTGGATTAAACTCTCAATCTTGAAAAATTGGAAGGCACAAGGTTTAAGAAAGGGAGATGTAGGAAGAAATAGCAGACTTCTAATTTAGATTCTAGATAATTGTGGGATTGAAAGACACAACTTATTAGTTGAAAAGGTATAGACCCCTTGTACAAAAAATCAAGCACTTATTTGATCAATGTTTTTTTTTTTTTCCCATGTTGATTGGAGCTATCCCTTTACTTTTCTTGTGTTTGAATCTGGTCTATTGTGAGAATTTTTGGGTGGTTGAAGGTGGCATGGACGTGAGTGTATAGTTTGATATTTGAACATGAAATTTGTTTGGCTAAAGGAAAAAGACTTGCTCTGATACTAAATTGATGTATGATGCAATAGAACAAAAACAAGATTGAAAAAGAAAGAGAAGAAGAGGGAGAGAATAGATAAAATTCAAGGAGACAATATTAATTTGTATTCATATCAAAGGTGTGAGAATTACAATACATAAGCCCCCTTATATAAGGTTTAAATTAATTTTAATTGAAGTAGAAAAATACTATAAAATAAAACCTTAATCACATTTCCTAAAATAAGCGTCTAATTTGAAAAGTAAACTAAATATTGTCTCTACTAAGATTCCCATCATGCTTCTTCTGGTTAGAAAAATTTTTAAATGAAGATGCCGCTTTATCAAGAAGCTCTTCTACAATAAATGAGAAAATTCTTTTATGGAAAACAGAAACAGAAGCCCTGTCAAACAGAGCAAAAATACATGTTAAATTATTTGAAGTAATCTGGAACTGATATTCTGGTGTCTCAACTGAGTTACTAAGCTCCAACGACAGAATCACCTTACTGATCCTTTTGGTTTGATTGACTTATATCTGTATTCATCTGCTTGGGAGCAAATTTAGGTTACAACTAAAACAAAACCCAATTATTTTCTTGCCCAGCTTTTTGATAAAGTAAACTGTATTATAATTGTGAAATCATGAACATATGTGAAGCTTTGATGAGTAGACTAATGAAGATGATGATTGGATTTTCATTTCTCATGGCAATTGGTTAATTATACCTTCACATGAATCAGCCCAATCCATAATTCAATCAGATAATGAGTGGTTTTTCTTTACTCCTCGCGGAAGGAAGTACCCAAAGGGCTCCCAAAATAAAAGGGCAACCGAATTTGGTTACTGGAAGGCCACAGGAAAAGAACGCACTGTTAAATCAGGTTCAAATCTTATTGGCACGAAGAGGACACTCGTGTTCCACATGGGTCGGGCACCAAAAGGACAGAGGACGGAGTGGATTATGCATGAATATTGTACAAGTGAGAAATCTCAGGTTAGTTAATACTGTCTCTGTGTGTGGGTGTGTGTGTGTGTGTGTGTGTCACTGGTCCTACATATAGAGACTAACATAAGTACATTTTAACTCATTCCTGTATGCCTATATACTTGTGCAAAAAGCTACATACCACAAACATGATCCAAATGACACAGTGATTCATCTTGCTATAGTAAAAATTGCTAACACGTTTTCTAAGATTCTACGATGAATATCCCAATTTGAACTACTTTTATGTAACACATATATCTTGTTGGATAAACTATCTGCATTTCTTTTCCTTTTGTGTTCTTTGGTCTTCCGATGCTTCCACTCATTTTTGTTAGTCTTCATTACGATAATAAGTTATTGCACTTGATGAAGGGTTCTATTGACGTTATTGTTTCACTTATTGCACCTATTCTCAACCATTATTTGCTATAAAATGAAGGTAACATCATTGAAAACAGAGCAAGTGGTCTCCTTTGTTTAGGCTATAGTATTCACTTGTAAAAACTTACCTTATTGGAAATTTATGCAAGACAACTGGTATTGTTTAGATGATAACTGTGCAAGGCATGGAAAAGCACAAAGTTAAAAAAAAATTGCTCATTATTCTAAGAGATGAGATCGGTAGTAGAGTTTATCTTGAAAATTCTTGCTTCTGGATAGAACTAAAACGATAAATCAATTGCTTTCATCTATATTTCTTTTCAAGGAGAAACATAATGATATTTATTGAACAACCTCTCACTCTCTTCATCGCTTCCAGTATTAATTGGTTTCTACAGCCTGCATATTTTTGAGTGACCATATTACTCTTTTCAGAATCATCATATTTGTCTGATTATGTAATGCTATCTAACCCCTGTTTGAGCCACATTATTTTTCTCATTCTCATTATTCTACTCATTTTCAATCACACATTTTTCAATAAAATAATATTTTTAATCACATCAATAATTTTTCCTTTCTTTTCAACCACACATTCCCCATCACATCAACAGTAAAAATGCATTCTTACTTCCAAAATGTGCATCAAACGAGGGCCTAATGAATATTTGTAGGATGCTATGGTTGTATGCCGCCTTCGAAAGAACAGTGAGTTCCATATAAATGACAATCCGGGAGGACATTCTCTCGTTCAAAGTGATTTATCTCCAGCAAACAATAGCGCTACAGCTTTATCTGGAGTTGAACAATCAGGCATGGTTGAAGGGACCAAGGCCGGTGACCACCGTTCAAAGGAGAGTGGTAGCAGTTATAACACTCATTCTGTAGAACAGATTGACTCTGGCTCTGAATCTGATGAGAAAGTAACCGAGTTCGATCAGCTCAACTTTTCGAGCAACGAGAAGGTTTGTGGTGGCATATGTCATATTTTACATTTTCATGTCTGTTGGTAACTGTTTTATATCCACTTATCTACCTATATTAAAAATTGCCTGCTAATTATCAACTTTTAGTTGATTCCTATTGGTTGTCCAGCCTGGGCTCTAATCTGTCATTTTTTGTTTCAGGATTGTGTTGATGAAGAGGATTGTTATGCTGATATAATGAAAGATGATATAATAATGCTAGATGATTCTTCATTAAATGCAACTGCAGGACTCTCATCAGATGTCTTTGTAAAACCTGGGCTTGACATGAGATCTGAGCATCCGACTCAGCCTACTGTAACCACCACACATCCTCTCCAGAGAACAGCAAATCAACAACTCAGACTAAGGGGGCCAAAACTAGAACATCATCGAGTAGATCTCTTTGAAGCATCTAAAGGCGAAAAGGAGTCCACTGGTGAGAATGTAGATCGCTCAAGTACACAGCAGTCAGCTCGTAGCCATTTTCCAATGACTGGAGTTAGGCTTTGGTATTTATCCCTGTTTCTGGTTATATTAGTTTTTTCTGGGGCTACTTCTGTTCTTTACTGGAAGTTATTGGCAAGTCAAGAAGGTTAGTTATGCCTCCGGGTTTAAAATATATCCTAATATTGACTGGTACGGTTTGCTTCCCTCGATCTTGAGGTAAAGCCTAAATAAAGTTTTATCGAGTTTTAGTGTGTAAGAAGAGAGATCAGAATGTATATTCTAATGTATAATATAATGAATGTGCACAGTTTTATAATTTATAAATGTTTGCTAGAAATGGATTCTGGGCATATTTTATAGATATGGACAATTTACCTCTTACTATGAGTTGTTAGCAAACAACAAATTCATTTATTTAATATTGTCTTCAACACAGTCCTTCACGTTTGAAGCTGGATTTGTTTTCTCATCAAAGGCAAGACATGTACATAATTTTCATAAATGTACGGTATTGAGATTTTGTTGGAATTTCAAAATATTGATCGAGAATGTGAAATATAAATATTCGGGCCTTTTTTTATTCCCACATTGATTGAAAGTATGAAACTTACACGCTTTATTTACAATACATTTGTAAAATATTTGTCTTATAGACTAAGTTGAACTACATTGAGCCTTCTAAAGGTAAAAGTCTAAAATACTTCTGAGGAAATACGTTTATTTATGGATAAAATTTAAACATTCATGACCTTTATACTAAGGATACGATCCAGTTTAATCAAATTCAGGCACTCAATCTGACAAGACTTCATCTCTTTGCAACTTGTACATATATAGAACACTTATTTTCTTTTCATGTTAAAAATAAAAAAGATCCTTATGACTCGTGATGTCAAGAGTTGCTTATGGATTACATTTTTGTAGATTTCAGGAAAAGTTAGCTGCGTAAAGGGAAAAGAAATTGGTAAGATGTCGAGATTTATAGGTAAATTTCCTATAAATTTAGACTAATAACTGAGAGAAGAAGCTGGCATAATGTCATTATCCTGAAGTCTTTTAAATCTTTGATAATCACATTTAAACTACTCCTTAAATCGATCAGATGGAAGGATAATACATTGAAAAACTCAAAATTTCGGAACAAAAATAGCAATGGAAATGCTACAGGGATCTATCGAACATTTTTAATCAATATGGAAGCATCAATATTCTTGAGAGTATACAGCCCTTCCATGGAAATTGAGTGCAAGTTTGTTATATGTGTTAATATTTATTCAGGGTTTTTCTTCCTCATAGAAGTTGTTTCTTCCATCTAATATGCATTGGCACGTTTCATTCTATTTATGTCTATATGAATCTCTTTATGTTGTCCTATATAAGATGGCTCAAATGGAGCAGAAAGATCGTACTTTGTGAAAATTAAGATTTGTAGAGAGACAACAGTGGGAAGTACGGCAATGGTCTCAAATTTTATCAGAAGGTATGCCTCTCTTGTCTGCTGATGTTCAATAGTAATGTTGTTTGCCTGCCGTTCAGATTTCTCATCTGAATTTAGTTTTTGTACTCGTGAACTAATTTCTTGCCATATTCTTGAGATGTTCCCTTTACGGAATATATGTGCACTATGATAATTTTGGTTTTTCACACTGTATCGAGGCAAATTGGTACCCTGCAATGGACTGTAAAATGGACAAATATTTTTAGCTTATTTATCTTCTGTAATATTGTCTAGTGCGTACAATCAACTTACCAGATGAGTAAAAAAGGTTATACTAACATAGTGCGTGTGATTAGACTCAAAGGAAAGGTAGCACTAATAACTGGTGCTGTTAGTGGAATTGGCGAGTCCATTGCCCGGCTATTCTCCAAACACGGAGCTAAAGTGTTGATTGCAGACATCCAAGATGACTTGGGAGAGGAAGTATGCAAAGATTTGGAAAAATCATCAGCTTCTTTTGTCCACTGTGATGTAACTAAAGAATCTGATATAGAAACTGCAGTTAACACAGCTGTAGCCGAATATGGGAAGTTGGATATAGTGTACAATAATGCTGGTATATCGAGGATACATAAACAATGTACTCTAGACTGCGAAAAATCAGAATTCGAAAATATCATTAGTGTTAACCTCGTAGGTGTGTTCTTGGGCGCTAAACATGCTGCTCGGGTGATGATCCCCAATCGTCGTGGGAGCATAATCACGACTGCTAGTGTTTGTTCTACCACAAGAGGTGGTGCTTCACACGCGTACACAAGTTCAAAACACGGAGTGGTAGGACTAACAAAAAATATCGCAGTGGAACTTGGAAAATATGGCATACGTGTAAATTGCGTGTCACCACACCTTGTTGCTACACCTCTGGCGAAGAATTTCTTCAGATTGAACGATGAGGAATGCTGCAGTGTATATTCCCATCTCAAAGGTGTTGTTCTTGAGTCAGAAGATGTGGCTGAAGCTGCTCTTCTCTTGGCGAGTGATGAGTCAAAATATGTGAGTGGAGATAATCTTTTTGTTGACGGAGGCTTCACCGTTATGAATTCAGTTTACTCCATATTTCAGAATCCGCATACAGATGTTTCAAAGACTTGATATATACAATCAGCAATACTATATTGCCATCGCCCTTTGTTTATATTTTCTTATTTCCCTGTTGTTTCCTTGTAAATTCAGCAAATGTTTTCATCGTTTTTCATTAAATTATTATTTATGCTCATGAGTTGACAGGATTTCATGTTAATTTGAAATTATAAGTTGTTCGAAAACAGCTTTACCTTGGTTTTGATGAGTCACATGATAACAAATCCCTGTTGCATAAAATGCCACGAAAAGAAGATGATATATTAGTTGACAAGATTATTTAGCACAAACTTTCTCTATATGATTTATTTGCTGTCAATATAGGTCTTGATACAGAGAGATGAATTAGAGCACTAGTATACAGTTCTTCTTATACAGCTTTGCACTTGGGTGATCGAGATGATTATATAGAAATGATTTACTCCCACGGTGGGCACGATTGCTGACGTGGTGTTCAAACATTTTTTTTCTTTTGAAAAGTCAAAAAATACGACTTATTAATGTTTAATTTTAACAAGTGGTTCAACAAGATGATTTGGTTTTCTTTAAAATCTAATTTTTTACCTATTAATGTTTAATTTTAACTTCATATCACGAGGAAATTATGAAGAAATCCAAAGAAACACTAACCATGACAGCCAAGTGAAGGGAAACCATAGTAAAGACCAACTTGTGACAAACTTTATAGGTAGAGGACCAAACATTTAATTTAGGAACTAAGTTGTCGCCCGTATAAATGAACGCATACGGTGTGCCTACTGCCTAATCAACAATCTCCTTCCCCAAAATTGTGTCGTAGTCAAAACATCCACTAAACGACCCGCTGTCTTCAACAGAGAAACACCAACGAATTAAAGACTTTCCAAGTTTTCTGATCGGCCCGTTGAATTAGATGTAAACTTAAACTCCGATCTGTAAGTTTTTACCAAGAGCCCATTTCTTTTTTAATTTTTAATTTTTAATTTCTCGACTGAAGCTCCAAGAAAAGTTTGGGGGAAATGGAAGAAGATTTAAATGTTATATTTTGCAGCTTAGAATCACTTTGCCTGACTTTGACTAGATTTTCTTGTTTTTATAACTTTTTTTTTCCTTTAAGATTTTGAGCAAGAAAAGAAGGAAATTTTGGTTTCAATTGAATTTTCTGTTAAGATAATTATGAGAAAATTACAAAATTGAGGACAAGAACTATGTAATGGGCATGGATTTTACTGGATTAATTATCCAAAATGAAGGCACGAAGAGGGTTATCGTTGTCGGTGGAACTTCTTTGCGGGCAAGAAAAAGACTAAAATGCAGCATAAGGGTTTTCAATTTTAGCTACACTTGTTCATTACTATCTGGGTTGTGAATTGTGCAATAGGATTTCTGCTTGTTTATTTATTCTACCTTTTTGGTGCAGATATTTTGAGGGGAGAGTTTAATCATGTCACGGCCAGCGCTTCTTGTTTTCCTGTTGCTAATATTGATTATCACGTCGCAATTTGAATGGAGGCAACAGCTAGTGAGCGATATAGATTTGAGTCCAAGGGAGTCTCAGAAGCAGCAACAAATATCCAAGACAGAAGAAAGCGTCAAAGAGAAGGTAATGGGAGCTTTAATCTGACTTTTCATGGCCTTTAAAAACTACTCAAATTTAATTACCATTCACTTATTCAAAGTTTCAAGAGACAAATTGACAACAAGTAGGGTTGAAGACCTTGTCTTTGTGCCTTCGTCTAATCTCACAAAAGAGAGAGAAGTACAAGACCAATAAAATATTAGGACCTGTGTATGCTTATTATAAGCTTGGCATCTTTATTCTTCTTTTAAAATACGGTTTTATATGAGTTGTTTGCATTAGCTCTTATTTGTTTTGTATCTGGATATAAAATTTATTTGGATGGGCTAACTAGCATTGAATAGGTTGAACTTTCCCTGAGCCATAGTAAGAATAATTATCCTTGCTGATGAGTGAAACTAGGGTGGAATTGGTTTACTAGTTGGATTTTGAGGACCAACTCTGCTACTTTTTATGTCATTTTATGGTGATTTAGTTGTCTGCTGCTGTTTGTGTTTCTGTATGGTCGTCTTGTTGGATTTTTGACATTTTATGCCGTTCTGATATCTTAGCATTGAATTTAAAATGATTTCTATTTTTTTATCATTTTTGTTATTTTGACAACAAGTCTAAAATTATTTCTATTTTGTATGTTTCTAGACTTGAAATAAAATCTATTTAAATTATTACAATTTAAGTTGTTTAAATTTTACATGTAATATGCATCCCTAAAAATTACATTAAATCATTTATTATATAAAGTTAAAAAAAAAAAGGACCGGTGTCCAAATATTGGATTAGCCATATTCTAGATTATAGAAGAAAAAGGATCCCACTCCTAGATATGTACCCGACACTTGTACCCAAGCATCGTAGACTAAAAGTTTGAGGAGATGTGTATCTACAACTAGATACTTCTGACTAGGCCAAGGGTACTCCAATTAGCAAAAGCGTCTTAGGAAAAATGATTTGCGGTCTGTAGGTGCTAACAGTAAAAAAAAATTTCTTTGGATAGCTGAATTTAGCTTATCAATCTTTTAAAACAACCCAAATCGTGTTGATTTATTTCTTAACTAAGTCACTGAAAGACTTGATTTGAAATGCTACTCCAGAATTAACAAGGTTTCAAGAAGAGTTTTAAGTAAAACATATACAGCTTCACAATGTGAATGTAGTTTGAGTACATTTAATTAAATGCATGCCGAAAGAAGAAATCAGTTTACCTAGTGACCTAGGTTTAATCCTTACTGAGAAGGTAGATAGGTCTTGATAGAAATATTATTAAGTAATTCTTGCTGGGATGCTCAACATGGTTTGGTAGTGTTTGAGGTGGTGGTTATTAAAAACTGGAGTAAAAGTTCCAAGTGGTTTGAATTCATAGAACAAATGGTGGAATTTGCATTGTAGAAAGTAATGATTTTTAATTATAAGAGTTTTGACCGAAGGAAAATGGTAGATAAAATGGTGCTAGTAAACATAATGGTGAATGTGGTGGCTAGTTGCTTTGGGAACCTGGAAATTGAGGTATTAGGAGAGTCTAAATGTAGAACACACCTATAAGGAAACATGGTGGATTGCAACTTGAAAAAAATCCAACTTTGTCATGACTTGAATGATCTACATGCTTATCATCATTGATTATATTTAAAATAGGAGGAATAAGACAACTCAGGTGGAAGAGACATGAATATGGTTTTGACTAATCACTTCAAGGATGATATCATAGTCGTTGAAAGCCCTTGTTATGCAAACCAAGTTTAGATATCTATCAAAAAGGGGCAGGGGGCAACATCTTGGAAATTCACCTTTTCATTTAGAAATGACAGGACTGCAATTCCCTTTCAGATTTCTTTTGATGTAGCTTTGATTGGAATTCTTTTTGTTTGAATCGGAGTAACAATTACTCTGTTCAATGATCTTGGATAAATGCTAACATGCCAATTTACTTCTGCAGATTATCTTATCTCAAGAGAAGAACATACAGAGACTCAATGAGCTTGTGCTAAGGCTTAGGGAACAGCTACAACATTGCCGGAGTAGTAATGAGACGAAGAACGGCACTCTTAGCTCATTGACCGAAAATGTTATTGAGCTTCAGCGACAACAAATTCTGGACGACTAAATTGTAATGTCATCACTGTTTGTGCAGTATTTTTACTTTTGGTTCTCTTGTTATTTTTTTACTTCTTGTTGTAATTCCTACGAGTTTCGTGCTGCTCGTGCTAAGTGAAATGGTTCGGATACTCTAGTGACGAATTCCAGTGTTTGTGTTATTAATTGTGATTAGTAAAATGACATTGGTATGAAGCATTTATATTGGTCGTATTGGAGTTTGTCTGAATCAAAATAATAGGAAACTTGTGTAATGTGCAAGTTTCGGACTGGACCTAACCTGCTCCCCTACAACCATACCCGATTAATGCGTGTTGTAGGTTTGAACTGGCCTGTCTAAAAATATGATTTGGGTCATGATATAAGAAATACAGAAGGAAATGCTAACAAATACAAAAGGAAATGCTGAGATAACTATTGGAAGAAAATGAATTCCTTTAACTGTAAAATGAGATAAAAATATAAATTCTAATTATCCTATTTACAATGGATTCCGCTTGCTATATTTATACAAACAAATGAAGAATCTTGTAACTAATTTACTCAACAGAAAGAGGGAGCAGAAAACAGAAAGTATGTGTTGTTTCCTCCATCTCATCTTCTTCCAGATTCTTCCAATATGGTTTGGCATTGTTGGCTCCATAATGCTGCTGTCACGGCCAGCTTGTGCTAGCTGATGTTCCTGTCTTGCTTCCCACATTTGACAACCCTCCACAAGATGGAGAGTAGAAGTCTTCTACTCCCATCTTGAACATGTGGGAATAGAAACTATTGGAGCATAATGGCTTTGTTAATATGTCTGCAACTTGTGAATCACTTTTCAAGTAATTTGTAACAACGCTTCCCTCTTGAATTTTATCCCGAACCAGGTGACAATCGAGCTCTATATGCTTGGTTCTCTCATGGAAAACAGGATTGGCTGCTATATGCAGCGCTGCCTGGTTATCACAAGAAAGGAAGGCAGCTTGAGGGTGAGCTACTTGTAAGTCATGCAACTAGTATCTAAGCCAGGATAGTTCACAACAAACGCTTGCCATTGCTCTATATTCAACATGTGCTGATGATCTAGAGATGGTATTTTGCTTCTTTGATTTCCAAGATACCAAAGAATCCCCAATGAAAACACAGTATCCCGTTATTGATCTTCGGGTATCCAAACATGCCCCCAAATCTGAGTCACTGTATGCTTTAAGTTGGAGGGGAGATGTCAAAATAAACAACAACCCTTGACCTGGTGCTCACTTAATGTACCTTAACACTTTGTAGGCAGCTTTTGAATGAGGCATTCTAGGATTTTGCATATATTGACTGAGTAGTTGAACTGAGTATGCTAGATTCGGCTTTGTGACAGTCAAGTATAGTAATCTCCCAATAAGTCTTCTATAGATAGAAGGATCTGATAAGAGCTCTCCTTGGTCTTTGGAGATTTTGACATTTTGATCTAGTGGCACTTTTACGGGCATTATCCTAATCATTCCTGAATCAGCCAAAATATCTAATTCATATTTTCTTTGACAAATGTGGATTCTCCTTTTTGATCTTGTCACCTCTATCCCAAGGAAATATCTCAGGGTACCATGTTGCACTTGCCACTATAACATCATCCACATATACCAATACAGCTGTAAATGAGTCTTTTGTGCTCCTTGTGAATAGGCTATAGCCTGATTTAGATTGCTCAAATCCTTGTTGAAGAATAAAAGAGGACAACTTTGAGTACCATTGTTGATAAGCTTATTTTAGTCCATACAAAATTTTGTTAAGTTTGCATACCTTCCCCTGATCACTTGTAGGATAACCTGGTGGAGCTCCATGTAGACTTCCTCATTCAAATTCCCATGTAAGAATGCATTGTTAACATCCAATTTATGTAAATGCCAACCTTTGATTGCCTCTACAGCAAGCATAGTCCTCACAGTCACCATCTTTGCCACGAGTGAAAAAGTTTCATGGTCGTCATGACCTTTAACTTGGGTATATCCATTTGCTACAAGCCTGACTTTATTTCTTTCCACCATTCCATCTGCTTTGAACTTGATTTTGTAGACCCATTTACAGCTTATAGCTATCTTTCCAGGAGGTAGGTATGTCACTACCCAAGTATCATTCAAGTCTAGAGCTTTTATTTCAGCATTCATGGCATCTTTCCATTCAGGATACTTGACAACCTCCTGATATGAATTAGGTTCTGTATGTGCAGAGATAGATGTGATAAAAGCCTTGTGTGATTCAGATATCTTGTTATATGATAGAGTAGTACATAAAGGAAAAGGGGAACCTGCTATGGTAGAACCTTTTTCCTTGTCCAACTCTTGGAAATGGTGCAAAGAGGCAGCTTGCGTGTATACTTTCTGCAGATGCTGCTAAGGGCTGAGAAGTTTGATTTACGGGATCGTTTAGATCAGTGTCTGCTGGATGGGTGGGCTTGGGAAAATGTGCTCGGTCTTCAGCATCTCATTAGGTTTTATATTTTGAGTTTTGTAGGGGAAATTGTCTTCATAGAAGACAACATTTCTAGAGATGAATACTCTGTTTAATTCAAGGTCCAGTAACTTGTAACCCTTGACTCCGTAAGGATATCCTAGGAAAACACACTTTCTTGCCCTTGGATCAAATTTATGCATGTTATGTGTGAGGATGGATACAAAGGCAAGGCAACCAAAAACTCTAAGGTGGGAATATTGGGGTTTCATTTTGAACAAGAGTTCAAATGGCGTTTTATTTCCAAGAAGAGGGGTAGGTGTCCTATTAATAAGGAAGACTGCAGTTAACACACAGTCATTCCAATTTCGCATAGGAATCCTACTTTGGAATTTTAGGCTCTAGCTACATTTAGGATATGTTGGTGCTTTCTTTCAACTATGTCGTTTTGTTGAGATGTTTCAACACATGTGATCTAATGTATGATCCCTCTTTTTGAGTAGAATTCTTTCGTATCAAACTCTCCACCATTGTCACTTCTAATCACTTTAATTTTTACTTCAAATTGAGTTTCTATCATGTTGCAAAAACTTTGTGAAGTGTTAGAAGCCTCATATTTTAGTTTTAGCATGTAAATCCAAGTACATCTACTAAAATTATCGATAATGGTGAGAAAATATCTTGATCCTTCATAAGCAATCTCATTACATGGTCTCCATAAATCACAATGAACTAATTCGAAACACTCCTTTGATATATGTTGACTAACACTAAATGGTAGCTTATGTAACTTGGCTAAGGGACATATAGGACATGGTTTCTTTGTGCTTGTATCTTTGGATTTGTGATCAACACTCAATAGACTCATTCTAGAATCTGAAGGATGTCCCATCCTATAGTGCCATAAATCAAACTCTTTGGATTTAATGATGATAGATGCTGATGTAGAAGTTTTGTTAATGGAAATAAGTAAATAATTCGTTAAGGCTATAGGAGAGACTTCCTCTTACAGCAAATGGTACAGTCCCCTGCCTCACTTTAGCCATTCTAATTGTCTTCCAAGTTGTAAGGTCCTGTGCAAAACAAGATTTGGAGGAAAAAATGAGACAGCAATTTGATGTTTGTGTTAATTTTCTGGCTGAAATAAGGTTGAATGAGAAGGATGGAACACATAAGACTTCATCTAAAATTATTATGTCGGTCATTTTAACAGTTCCTATATGAGTGACATGAACTATATTTCCATTTGGAAGGACAACAAAATGTGAGATTTCTCTCTTGATGGTAGTGAAAAATGATGGAGAGCAGATCATGTGATCTGTGGCTCTAGTATCTATGGTCCATGGAGTGATAGAAGCCCTTTGAGATTTTGTGATATAAGTAGATGAACAAAAAGAAATACCATAAATCTTTGGCATTTCAAGTTCGTTTGAAAAGGATGGTACGAGAGTCTGCACTTGATTTGCTAATGAGATGTGAGGTTGAGTTCCCTGTAATTTAAGTAATGCCATAAGTTGATTGTATTGCTCCTAAGTTAGAGATACTTGGCAGTTGTTAATTCCTTGTTCCTGTCCAATAGCTAGTAGACTTGTAACCTGATTTACAAAAGATGTAACACCCTTTTTGCCTTCCATAGAGTTTGTGGCCTGGTGGATATCCATGGATTTTGAAGCATTTGTCTATTGAATGGCTAGGCATTTGACAGTGTGAACACACTGGTTTATCAGGATTGGCTTTAAAACATTTATCAATAGAGTGACCCGGTATCTTGCAAAAGGTACAAAAGTACTTCTTCTGAGTTTCCATGTTCTGCCTTCCTCCCTCTCTTGGAGCAAATCTCCCCATTAGAGCTATGGATTCAACATTAGAAACCTCAATAGATAGATGTCCTCTCTTCTTGCTGAATCATTGAGTATACTTCATTCAGATTTGGGAAAGGTTTAATCAGAAGTATATGTGCCTTGATTCCCTTGAATGGGTCATTTAAACCTATAAGAAACTTTATCACCCAATCTCTCTGTTGGTTATGCACTACAACTCTCAATCCTCCACATGTGCAATTTGGAATAGATTCGTAGTTCATCAGTTGATCAAGAAGAGTTTTCAGCTTTGAAAAATACACACTTACAGTATCCTGATTCTGCATTAAGTCTGCAATTCCTTACTTTACTTCATAAATTTTGGGAGCATTTTGCTGTGCTAAACACTGCTCAAGTTCCAGCCATAGTTGGGTTGTTGTTTCTGTATACGGGGTGCTGGCTTTGATGTCAATAGACATGGTGTTTTGTAACCATGTGATGACAATGTCATTACATCGAAGCCAATGATCCATCAAGGGGCCTCCCGCATCAGCTGGTTCAGAGATACTTCCATCGATGAATCCTACTTCGTTTTTTATTCGAAGGACCCTTTTCATTGACCTAGCCCAAGAGTGGTAGTTGCTGGAATCCAGCATTTGAGTAACAAGTAATGCACCAGAATTTTCATTTGCTCCAATGAAAAATGGACAGTTGGCTGAGATGGATCAACAAGTTCTGTAATAGTGATTGAATGTTGATTTTGATTGTTTTCGTTTTCGTTTGAGGATTG